AAATATATACATATTTACATGTTTCAGTTTAATCGATTATAAATCAAACCATATCCAAATCCTATGGTTTTTATAAAATCACATCTATTCGGTTTGTATGGTATATACCAAAAATAACCATATTATCGATTGTTAATATCTTTTAAAAATATAAAATTAAAAAAAGAACTAAGATATTTAAATCATTGATAACAAAAAATTTCAATGTGAAAAATTTAATAAGTTTATAATTTATAAATGTTCTTGAAAATTTATTGAAAATTTTTAAATTAAAATATTTATGTAATCTTATATGGTATATAGTTTAATCTGTATATATATATTTGTTTTATTATTGAATGATACTTTTTACTTATATGGTTTTAAAATCATGTATATCTTTTTATAGTAAAATGTTAAACTATTGATCATTAATTTTTAACATAATAATTTTAATAGTTTAGTTATTTATTCTCGTTTCTTAAAATTCAAAATATAACCTATAGGAAAAAAATCTAAAGTTTAATTTTATAGCAAATTTGATTGTTTAATTTATTTTAATAATATAAAATTAAAGAAAAATGATGGAGTATATATAAACTATTATCAAATATTTATTATTAGAATCATTAAGTGTTATATATATATATATATTAGTCATTTATGGTAATTCCGTAGGTTTTATTTATGGAAATAAAATAAAATAGTAATTATATCTTAGGGAACAATCATTAAGTGTCATATATATATTAGTCATTTATGGTAATTCCGTAGGTTTTATTTATGGAAAGAAAATAGCATATCATATCATTATATCATATAGTTTCACTAACTAATGTATCTAGCAACCTATAAAAATCCAACGTGGACTTACTTATTTTTCAATTGAATCTAATTGACTACCTAATTGAATGACACCTATGCATTTGGGCCTCTTTTAATTAATACCAAATTGAGGTTACATATTTTCAAATGTTCCTCAATTAATATATAGGGGATATATAAAATAAGTATTAAATAAAATATTAACCCTAAACCCTAAAACATCAATTCTAAACTCTAGACCCTAAAAAGTAAAGCCTAAACCCTAAAAATCAACCCTAAACCCTAAAATATCAATTCTAAACCTTAAACCCTAAACTCTAAACCCTAAAAGGTAAACCCTAAACTCTAAAAAATCAACACTAAACCCTAAACTACCAATCCTAAACCCAAAACCCAAAGCCCTAAATTCTAATAGTATTTTGACTATTAAAATTTTAATGGTAAAGTTAGTTAGTGTAAAATTGAAAAGTGCTATCTTGAAAGTGTTATTTCTGGCTATTTCCCTTTTTTTTTGCTATCCAATTTAATACCCCAACTAATTATTTTGTTAATTTTAATACTCAAATTTTTAGAACTCTGCTCTTTTAATATCCAAACTTTTTTTTTATTGTAATTAAAAATAATTATAATTTTCAAACAAAATTTTTAAAAATCCCCAAACCCAAGGAATATATACTAAAAACTTCTAGTTTTGTTTTAAGATTTAAGAAAAATATTAATAAATTAGACGGGACATTTTAAAATTTTGAAGAAAAGAATGATTTGTTTCTATTTCAGAAAACAAACTAAATTTAATATTTATAACTTTAATTACAAAATTTAAGATGATATACAGTTAATTCTTTTTGAAACTTATTAGTATTTCTATTAAAGTAAACAAAATTTGAATATTAAAATGAGCATAGTATTAATCTGTATATTAAAATGTAGAATACAATTAGTTAAAGTATTAATCTTGGCAGCGTAAAGGTTTGGGTGTTAAAAAGTTTAGCAAAATGAAGTTGGGATTTTCGTATGAAAGGTTCCCAACTATAAATTAGTTGTTCAGCTCTTGATGATTTTTTAGATTGAAGATAATTGCATCAATATAATTAGTAGATATTTTTGTGGTTAAAAGGAGATTTTTTTTGTTTTGGTCAAATTAATACTAGTGAAAAATCTAAATATTACAACAAGAAATTAATAATACATATAAAAAATTTAGAGAATGAGTCTATGAGAGAGGGAGAATGTACTCATTTTATAAATCTATAAACAAGAAATGTTGTCGTATATTTCTTATAGTGTTTTACTGCAAATGCAAATGCAAAAAAAATATACACTGAATACAATGCTTAAAGGAAACACTGCAACCATAGCCAAACTTTATATTACCAATAGTAAAAAAAAAACAAATAAGCACACAACATATATAAAAAGTAAAATACAACATATTGATTATCAAAAGGGATATTAAAGGTACAATCATAGGGATATATGCGTAATCAACCAAACCAAAGACACTACAATGATACAACTCACTGTAGTTTAAGAAATAAACCCATGAAGTAGCTAATCACTTAAGGGCTCGATGTAGTTGTAGTAGGCGGAGGAGAGAAAAATGGAATGGATGGGAAACTAGTGGGGAGAGAAGGGATTGTTGTAGGAAATGAAGGCAAACTTGGCATTGAAAATGGAGCGGTGGAAGTAGGAAGAGTTGGTTGTGGTAATGTTGATGGCAATGGAGGAATCGAAGTGGGAAGGGTGGGAAGAGTTGGTTTTGGAAATGTTGATGGCAATGGAGGAATTGAAGTGGGAATGGTGGGAAGAGTTGGTTGTGGCAAAGTCGATGGCAATGGAGGTAGTCCCGTTGTTGGGATAGGAATATTTGGAATTTGAGGAAGAGGTTGTTGCTGGAGAAGATGACGTGAGGCCGAACAAGTCTTGATCATAACAGAGGAAGAAAGACTCACTAAGAAAGCAATGAGAAAAAGCTTGTACGATCCCATGTTTGATATGTTGATGAGTTTTAGATTACGGTTAAGCCGCTCTCTTATTGCTTCTTCGGTTTAGTGTTTTGTGTTGATGCTATGTGTGACTTGTGAGTATATATAGTGGTAAGAGTATATGGATTACAAAAAAAAACTTATCATAGATATAATATTTTATGGTTTATGGTAGGTGTACTTTATGGTTGTTTTGAGTTTTGTTAGTTCAACGTATTGTGTTATTTTAGACTACATTGACAATTCAATAATTTTAATTTAAGTTAGTTCAACAACATGACTAAAAGAAACTGCACAGGTGTATCAAAATAGGCTATAGCCAACACAAGTTGGTCACCTAGAAGGCTTTCAAACTAGTAGAGATTTAGCTGGTCGTTCTTGGTATAATAACATTCTTCTTATGTTGTCTGATTACGAGGGAAGCTCGGTCACAAGCGATGATCTTAAATACACAAGAAAATTCCTAGGAGAATTTAGGAGAGCCGAAGTAATGAACTAACTGACATAGCTTCTCCCCCAAGTAAGCCGTCTCGCGTGGAATACTTCAGGTTGTTGTTGTTTGGTGCCTTGATGGTGGTCCGGTGGATTAGATATGTGGGTAGTGATGGAGAGAGTGAGTTAATTGGGTTGTAAGGTAATGTTAAATGAGCATTTTAGGAGGAGAACAAACTGTGACGACGAGGCACAAGACATTTAAGGAGAATTTAGAGCAGGATTATCCCAGCAGCCCATTACGGAGTGCTTAATTTTTTTTTTTCAGATTAAAAAAAGTAAAAAAATATCAATCACGGGCCGCCACGTGTCATGGGCTCACAGAACAGGCCAAACAACAGGCCAAACAACAAACCAAAAAGACGCTTATTCTGTAGTTTCAGGCGTCGATTTTTGTTCTGTTTGTGGTCCCCCTCTCCTAGGCACTCTCTTAGAGCACTATTATCGCACAAGGGTGTTTAACTTTTTTTCGGATTAAAAAAAAAAAAAAACAATAGAAAGACCACTCGCGGGCCGCCACGTGTCGTGTGGCCCGCGGAACAGTTCAAGCAACAACCATAATCGAACGCTTATAGAGGCACTTGAAGCACTAAGCTTTTATTTTTTGTGGACTCCCCTTCCCTAAATTCTCTCTAAGCACCCTTGGATGCAAGTGCTCTTAGCATCTCCGATAAATGTGCTCTTAGGAGAGGTTAAGCAAATGAATAGCCTCCATGAAACGCTGCGTTTAGTCATGTTACGAGGGGAGTATGAATGAATGTTAGAGAAAGAGAGTGGTTCTATTTGATGATTGAAATGGGTGAAAGTAAAACTCGTTAGAGTGAGAGGAAAAGTGAAGCGAACTGTATTTACCAAGGAAGTTGTAAACTGCATGTTTTTTTTTTGAACTTTGATAAACTGCATGTTGGAACGTGAAACATGCACATGCTTCGTGTTTTATTTTCTACAGTATTACAAAATGCAATTCTCAGTTTCTTCACTATGCTTTTTTTGTAGAACAAAATATACATATCTTCTTCGCAATGTTCGTAGTAGTGTATACATATGGATAAACTATAAAGTGAAAATCCCATAAAAAATACTCCAATCGAAAGTTTTTACTATCTAATTTAATACCTCGAATAATTAGTTGCTCATTTTAGTGCATAAATTTTTAAATTGTACTCTTTTTAATATCTAAATTTTGTTTATTTTAATTAGAGAAAATTTCTGAAAATACTTAAAACTAAATTTCATTAACTTTTTTAATACCCAAACTTTTTTTTGCTTCACAGTTTAATATTCCAACTAATTATTTTGTTAATTTTAATACATACAATTTTAGAACTGTGCTCCTTTTAATACTCAAACTTTGTTTATTGTAATTAAAATATTAATCAATTTCAAACAAAATTTTAAAATTAAATCCCCAAGAAAATATACTAAAACTTTCTCATTTTATTTTAAGATTTAAGAAAGAATGTAAATAAATTAGGGGGACATTTTAAAATTTTGTAAATTTTATTTTGAATGAAAAAGTAAACTTTGTTTTCTATTTCAGAAAAGAAACTAAATTCAGTATTTAAAACTTAAAACTTCTATTACAAATTTAGGATGATATACAATTTAGTTACTCTATTTCTCAAACTGAAAATAAATTAGAATATTGTGAGATTTGTTTTTGTAAATTTTGAGATTTTAAAATTTTGTTTAAAACTTAATAATAATATTGATTAAAATAAAAAGTTGATATTAAAATAGTCATAGTTTTAAAATTTTGTATATTATGAGGTATTAAACTTGATAGCGAAAAAATTTAGGTGGTAAAAAGCTTAACGAAATGAAGTTGGGTGTTTTTATGATTTTTTCCAACTATAAATTAGTGTTTCAGATCTTGATGATATAGATTGAAGATTATTGTATCAATATAACTAGCAGATATGTATGTTGTTACAAGGAGACAAGTTTTGGTTATGACATGGTAAAATAAAAAATATCTAAATTAAGAATTTAATAATACATATAAAAAATTTAGTGAATGAGTCTATGAGAGAGGGAGAAATGTACTCATTTTATAAAGCTATAAACAAGAAATGTCGTCGTATATTTCTTATAGTGTTTTACTGCAAATGCAAAAAATAAATATACACTCAATACAATGCTTCAAGGAAACACTGCAAACATAGCCAAACTTTATATTATCAAGAGTAAAAAAAACCAAATAAGCATACAACATATATAAAAAGTAAAATACAAAATATTGATCATCAAAAGGGAAATTAAAGGTACAATCATAGGGATATATATGCGTAACTAACCAAACCAAAGACACTACAATGATACAACTCACTGTAGTTTAAGAATACAGCAAACCCATGAAGTAGCTAATCACTTAAGGGCTCGATGTAGTTGTAGTAGGCGGAGGAGAGAAGAATGGAATGGATGGGAAACTAGTGGGGAGAGAAGGGATTGTTGTAGGAAATGAAGGCAAACTTGGCATTGAAAATGGAGCGGTGGAAGTGGGAAGAGTTGGAAGAGTTGGTTGTGGCAATGTTGATGGCAATGGAGGAATTGAAGTGGGAATGGTGGGAAGAGTTGGTTGTGGCAATGTTGATGGCAATGGAGGAATTGAAGTGGGAATGGTGGGAAGAGTTGGTTGTGGCAAAGTCGATGGCAATGGAGGTAGTCCTGTTGTTGGGATAGGCATATTTGGAATTTGAGGAAGAGGTTGTTGCTGGAGAAGATGGCGTGATGCTGAACAAGTCTTGATCATAACAGAAGAAGAAAGACTCACTAAGAAGGCAATGAGGAAAAGCTTGTATGATGCCATCTTTGATGTGTTGATGAGTTTAGATTATGGTTAAGTCACTCTATTATTGCTTCTTCGGTTAACTGTTTTGTGTTGATGATATGTTGTGACTTGTGAGTATATATAGTGGTAAGAATCTATATTGATTACAAAAAAAAAACTTATCATAGAGACAATATTTTATGGTTTCGGTAGGTGTAATTTATGGTTGGTTTGAGCTTTGTTAGTTCAACTTGATGTGTTATTTTAGACAATCCAATAATTTTATTTCAGGTTCGTTCAACAACATGACTAAAAGAAACGGCACAGCTGTATCAAAATAGCTAACACAAGTTGGTCACCTACAAGGCTTTAAAACTAGAGATCTCTTAAAACTAGTAGAGATTTAGCTGCTCGTTCTTGCTATAATAACATTCTTCTTGTTTTGTGTAATGACGAGGGAATCTCAGTCTCAAGCGATGATCTTAATTACACAAGAAAATTTTCTAGGAGAGCCGAAGTAATGTTACTGACTGACATAGCTTCTCCACCAAACAAGCCGTACTCTTTTTGGAATACTTCAGGTTACGTTGTTGTTGTTGGTGCCTTGGTGGTCGACCGGTGGATTAGATTTGTGGGTAGTGATGGAGAGAGTGAACTAATTGGGTTGTAAGGTTATGTTAAATGAGCATTTTAGGAGGAGAACAAAAACTGTGACGACGAGGCACAAGACATTCAAGGAGAACTTAGGAGAGTGGTTCTATTTGATGATTGAAATGAGTGAAAGTAAAACTCGTGAGAGTGAGAGGAAAAGTGAAGCGAACTTTATTTACCAAGGAAGTTGATAAACTGCATGTTTTTTTTTTTTTTGAATTTTGATAAACTGCATGTTGGAACGTGAGACATGCACATGCTTCTTGGTTTATTTTCTACAGTATTAAAAATGCACTTGTCAGTTTCTTCACTATTTTTTTCAGAACAAAATATACATATGGATAAACTATAAAGGGTAAATTCCATAAAATACTCCATCCGAAATTTTCACTATCTAATTTAATACCCTAAAAAATTATTTTATTTATTTTAGTACACAGACTTTTAAAATTCTACCCTTTTTAATATCTAAATTTTGTTCATTTTAATTAGAATTTTTTTTTATAAAAAAACTTAAACTAATTTCATTAAGCTTTTTAATACCCAAAATTTTTACTATCTAATTTAATACTCCAACTTATTATTTTATTCATTTAAGTACACAGACTTTTAAAATTTTACCCTTTTTAATATCTAAATTTTGTTTATTTTAATTAGAATTTTTTTTTATAAAAAGACTTAATCTAAATTTCATCAAGCTTTTTAATACGCAAAACATTTTACTACCTAATTTAATACTACAACTAATTATTTTGTTAATTTCAATACATAAACTTTTAGAACCGTGTTTCTTTGAATACCTAAACTTTTTTACTGTAATTAAAAATACTAATAATTTCCAAACAAAATTTATAAATTCCCCAAAATAAAATAAATTATACTAAATTTAGGAAAGATTTTAATATTTAAGAAAGCATGTAAATAAATTAGGGGGGGGCATTATAAAATTTTGAACATTTGATTTTGAAGGAGAAAAAAAT